CGTCTGGAACACGCTTTGCGAGGTCTGCTGTGATTGTCCCGGGTCCACACCCCACATCCAGGATATGCATGTTGCGCTCAAGCGAACTCAACAAGTAAGCCGCAGAGTTGTCTGCAGTACGCCAGGTATGCGACCGCAGGACTGACTCATGGTGGCCATGGGTATAGCGCGCAGTCATCGGTATATCTGCTGGATTGCTCCTATGGTATGTCGCCGCGGGGATGTGTAAAGACTGGCATATTATTTTAGGACTCGTTTCTAGGTGCGATCACCCGCAGGAAGTCACCTAATCTGGTCGAACTGGTTCCAGAACGGGAGAACAGGGACGAACGCAGGGCGGAGGCGGGAGAGAGGTTATTCCAATATTTCGCCGAATGATGACATCATGTCAAAACAATTATAGAAGTCTTGGCGTTGTGTTCTTTGCGCTGTTCCATCGGATCACTGCCATCGTTGAACAAGTAATGAGATGAATAAATATGAATTTATTCGAAGTGTGAGGATACGTAGGATATACAAGTAAGATGGACGAAAAATGTAGCTGGGGAGTTGTGCGCGGTTCATCTACGATTCAATTTAACGATTGATAGAAAGGCGAGAATGTATCTAGCAACCCACGCCCTCAACTGCGTCAACCATGACGCGGGAATGGCATTGAGGTCTCCCTTCGACAATGTGCTCGCAATGCTCGCGATACTGGCCTTAGAGGTCAGCGAGGACGACGAAGTTGAGATCGGAGAACGTTCTTGGAACCACTGCAGAACAGGGTAAGCAACCAAATCGCGGCTATGCAAGATGGTCCAAACTTTGACGAGGAACTTCGCTGAGTCTTTCGGTATTCTCTCTTGTGTCTCGTAGTCGACGTAAGTGACACCGAAGCGAGTGATGTATCCATCGGCCCTAAGAATCGGAATCATTGAGCAACTGTTATGAACCTGGGACACGCATACCATTCAAAGTTATCGAGCAGACCTGAAGGATCGGTCATGAGCATCGGAGTAAGACTCTCTGGTACTTGACTTACTCCAAGCGAGGTAGCATCGGACGTCCACACCATCGTCGTTGATGGCGGAGATTAAAGAGGCAGTGACGCCCCGGTAGTAATTGACGCGGTCTTCGTCTTTTACCGCCTCTGATTTGGGCTTGTCGCTCTCGTTCATGACGGCGAACCCGTTCTCCGTAACACTGTGTGCTCTATTCAGCGGGGCTTTCCCAAAGGATTTAAGAGGCATACTATATGGGCATTCGATACCGCTACAGGAACGTCAGTATGCAAGGTCCAAGGAGGATGGATGAAGGCAACATTACCTTCCAGAGGTAGTTGAGGAGCTGCCAGTAGACAAATCAGACTTCTGCCCTGCCAATGTCGGAGATCGAACTTACCTCCCGGAAGCCCTGCGGGTCTGTCACACGACGACTAGATTAGTTGAAGGCAGCATTGCAAATTGAACTTGCATACAGTCCTGAAGCCATGCGCAATGCGCTACGCACGAAGTGTTAGCTTGAATGATGAATGAAATTATTGAACGCACCTTGTGTGCCGAGCTGGGAGCCGTCAGGTCTTGTGAAGGTATAGTCCACCAGACCTTGGAATTCGTCATCACCACCAGCCCCTTCATTCGTGGTCAATTGTCGATCCCAAGAGGAGGGATTGAATGGACCAACTGCAAAGGTTCGTGGTGTACGTGTTCATGCCATAGAAATCCGAGGAGCCTTTAACCAGTGCCAGTTCGGCCGTAGTAAAGTGAGGTAGCCGGTTGCCGAGCGTTTGGCGCATATACGGAGGATATTGGCCGAGGTAAATGGGATCCTAGCAGGCGCGCATTAGTTACGGGATGACAGCTTTCCATAATCAGCTCACCGCATACCACCCTGTAAGAGGAGGCAAAAATGTCGGAGATTCAAGTCAGCAGGGTGATCTAATGACGTTAAAGTGGTGATGACCTATCGCGAAGTCTAGAGCGTGTTGAGCTGCTGCTGCATCTGTATGATTACATGTGTAAGGATTCAGCTTAGTTGCGGAACAAGGAAGTCGCACTCTCAGGAGTATCATCGTAAGGCATTTGCCAGTCTCCGTTCAATGTAATGCCAATTTGGCCGCCTTGGGTGGTCTTGAATTCCTCGCGGTAGAGCTTCACGGCATTGGCATGCGCGAGGATGACGTTGTGCCCGACACTGAATAAATGCGATAAACACGGGAAATAATCTGTAGCGGTAAATCACCGCCTAAATGTGGAGCCTACATCCAAGGCTCTGTGGACGAATCGCCTTCTGGGGATCGGGACCGGTCACTTGATCTACCGGGGGCAAAAACGCCTCGCCCATATCCCAAGATTGATACACACCAGGGTTCGTTCATGGTCAACCTGTCCATCTAGTCAGAGAATGTTACCAAAGAGTGCGGGTGTGGTGGTAAATACCAATATTTGACGCGGCTACCGAAAGCTTCAAAACAAACCTATATGGAGGAAAGTCAGTGAGACGAAAAGGACATGAGAGTGGCCGAGACACACCCTTGCGTATCGCTGTGAAGTCCTGAACTATTTCGTTCTTGTTGAGCCAGCCTCCGTATCGGTCGTGAAGGCCTTGAGGAAGATCCCAGTGATAAAGTGTCTGGTGTATATGCTGCTGAGCGCGGTCGACAACTGGAACAGAGAGCTTGCTCACCACAAACGGAACAATATTGTGTGCAAGTAACGCGTCGATCAGGCTCGAATAAAACTCGATACCTTTGGGATTAACAGGATCGTTGCGGCCGCCCAGAGGAATTATTCGTGGCCAGGAAAGGGAGAAGCGGTAGGACTTCACACCATACGCAGCAAGCAGCGCGACGTCACTTCTCCAGAGCTTGTATGAGTCTGTCGCGTTGTCCCCATTTCTTCCGTCAAGAGTTTTCCCGGGTTGTCTCGAAAAATCATCCCAGATAGACTTTTCCCCGACCGTCGGCATCGGTCGAGCCTTCAATTTGAAAGCTCGCTGAAGAACAGTCAACCATGGTGCAGCAAGCTGTCGAAACAGCCGCCCATACGCGCAGTTAACTCACCTGTTGCGAAACCCCATAAAAAATCGGAAGGCAACTTGCGTACAGGAGGGGCGGCCATTGGAAAGCGCGTTGACCAAGAGGTAGGATTGGCAAGGCATCATCTACAGGATCTGGTTGCTCTTAAAAGCGAACTGAACGCCGGAGAAATGGAGGTTCCTGGAGAATCTCTGGCAGGCTCCGACAATCCTCCGCGTCAACTTGGAGAAGCATCTGTTCCCGATGCAACCTCGACGCGTTTTTAGAGAGTTCCCACAATTATACCTACGGGAAATCAAACTTCGCTTCCGCCTGCGGATCTGTTCCATTTTGTGTTGAGACAGAAGACTCCGAAGAGGTGAGTTTGCGCTTGTTTACTACCTCGGAGGTTCTTCGGGGTCAAACTTGCAGTTGCCCAGCACACCGCGATAGTGCTACTCTGTCTGTAACCGAATACAACGGTGCCTCAGAGGCGCTTCGACAACTCCATGGATCATCCAGATTATTTGAGCTGACCCCCGGTCACTTGACCTAATTCTGCTGCAGCAACGGCACTCCAAACCATACAAGCGATGCACAAAGCTGTAAATCACTGGCAGGGACTCCCATCACGCGGATAGACCTGGGCTAACGAATCACCTGGCCAACGAATCAATCCTGACTTATCCTGCACAACTTGCGAGCGCTTTGGCTTGAAACATCACTTTCAATTCCTGCTTCTCGTCCTGCTGCAGGCCGACATGGAAGAGAAGGGCTAAGGCTGCCGCCCCCCGACGTCCTCGTGACCCCACTGCTACAACAACGATGAGAAGAATGGACTGCATGAGGCCGCGGCGCTCTCATATCTGGGTGGTCGCCGCGGCAAGGCACACAGGCACTCAAGTTCACAGGGGCTGCATCAAGAGGATGACGTAGACCTGTCGTTCGCACCGCAATAGCGATTTTTCTGGCGCTTGAAAGTTGAGGAGTCTTGGTCCTTGGGGGAAGTTGAACATTCAGAACTGTCTCCGCGATCTGGCGCGGTATGCAGGCGAAAGGTCCACAGCCGTAGTATGGTGCACGAACTGGGGAGCTCGCCAACGCGAAGCGAACGATGCGAGATGCAATGTGCTTCTACCAGCAGTTCTATTAGCGAACAAACAAAAATACCTAGCTGCTCAAATATGCGACGCTTCTGACAGGTGGTAGCCGTCTTGCGTCGTGCCAGAAGTACTAGTGATATGGAGAGTATCCACGACAAAGCTCCGGACTCGCTGAGCCAGTTGTGGACTCTCTGTTTACACTGTTTACGGCGAGACAAAATTTATCCTGCTTCTTATCCTGTCTTCAGTATGAGCTTTGTGGCGTTAAGGTCCGCCACTCGCCGAGCGGTAGCAGTAATTTTCCAATCCAATTGCTGCCGAAGGAAAACGGAGTTACTCTTTACATTTATGGACAGTCTCAATAGCTGCCGGAACTACTTATAATACGGCAGAAGAAAAAGAGGTACAGCCTTTTACTCGGGTTTCTGAGGTGATTCATGCAAGGTAAAGCAGTGCAATAGAGGTTTTCGAACGCGCCGTGGTTTTTCCGAGAGTGTTTTGGTTTTGTGTTTTTGATGATAAATATCTGTGAGCAGGAAGCGTCTTCCTACATATGTATTCTACATACCCTTGTTAGTAGTATAGTGTTGAAGCAAAGTATTTCGTCAGCTCCAGAAACCAAATGCCCGCCTTCAGTGAGACAACTCCAAATGCTGTATTTCTGTTCCCATGAAATTTCAGTGTTGTCGTTGTCGGAGTCAGTGTTTGGCCGTCAAAAAAAAGTCAAATCTCCTGCAACTCACTAGTACTCACTGACGGGTCGATCAGCGACCTCCAGAAGATTGGCATTTGACATAACCCCTCCAAATGACCTATAGGGATGATTTCTTGCGAAACTTGGACATACTAGAAATCCATGTACTGGAAACATTGCTCCAACAAGTAGAGAGACACTCATGGCCTTCTTGGCTCAGTTGGTTAGAGCGCCAGTCTCATACAGCTGTATGCGGAACATCCTGTTCTTCAATCTGGAGGTCGAGAGTTCGACCCTCTCAGAGGGCACATGTTTTTCTTCGATTTTGTTTCGCTCCACAACTCAACTGGTTTACTTCTTTTTGAGGCGCTCTAAACTGAGCCAAAAAGGCGATGATGAGACATTTTTATGGTGGAGGGAGACACATAGCCACCGATGTCTACACTTGCTGGGGGGACCTTTTCCAGTATTTTCCTGGTCCAAGTTTCGCAAGAAACCGAACCATTCATGGGACATTTGGTTGTCTCATTGGTTGCTGGAACTACTTTGCTTCAGACATCATCGGATTTATCAATTGCGAGATAGCGAGATAGCGACAGAAGAGAGAGTAATTATTGCATATGCAAGATATTAATTAGATGTTAGAGATGTCAAGTAAGTTTGCAGCCCATCACCCTGACTAAATTCAAGATCAGAACCGACAGCCCCCGAAATCCTGAGAAAGCTTACCAGTGCCATCAGGCTCCCCAACACCATAAAGCATCTCCGTCGGATGGAATGCGAGCGAGCTGGACCGGGGAATGAAAGGCGACAACAACGCCCGCGACGGCTGGGCGAGGAGACCAGTGGAAACAGTAAAGCTGGACATTGTGACGTTGCGCTTCAGTGTCTGCACTGTGATACGCTGGGTTTTCCAGTTTGTTGCAGATATGGCCGAGGTACTGATGGATGGTCAGCGATCACCAGTGACTATCACACCAGACTGCTTACGCCGCGAAAACACCAGCGTTAGGATGACAGTCAAAGGCGGCAAGACCACGGGGGTGCACATCCCAGGTCATCGCGGCGATGTCAGGGCCTCGAAGATCCCACAGCTTGACCTTGCCATCCAGACTAAGGTGACGTTAGGCGCCACTGTGAGTGTGAGATGAGACACTACATACCTCGCCGACAGGAACTGCGACTGAGTTGTGGGGTCGCAGCGAACGTTCTGAACCCATGACTCGTGGTCTACATAGTTTCTAACCACCGAGTTTTCTTCTTCGAGCCGTCGGTCAAAGATCTTGACCTCGCCGTTGGCGAAGCTGGCAGCAAATAGCTGTGATGGACCAGCATCGCAAACAATGGCAGTGACAGGGCTTTCCGAATTTGTGTCGAAGTCCTGAGTAGAGATTGAGATATGGAATGAAAACGCTGCAAGTGATCGGTGACGTACAAGCGTAGGAGTTTCTGTTTGAGCATCCCAAATCTTGATTATGCGCGAGTCCCCGCCTACAAAAAGAAGGCCGGAAGACTGGGTCCAGTCCAGGACGACACCCGCGCCTTGCCGAACTTGCACGAGCTCGTTGAGGCCACGGAAAGCGCTGACCATCTGCACTGGCCCTTGGTCAACAGTCGGATCATAATTTCGGTACAGTCGGATGACGCCATCAGCTAGTCGAGGAGTTTAGTGAGCGCGTCGAATTCTAGCCGACCATAACGTACAAGACCCAGTCAAAATTATCCCCCCTATATCCTGGTTTATGACGTGCATCGCTGTGACACTAGTGCCCGGCGCGTTTCCGTTCTGGAAGGAGGTCAATCGCCGGCGTTGTGACCAATCCCACACACTGGTACAAAACATCATGGGTAAAATACAAAGTAAGTGACAAAATGCGAACCTGATCACGTCGGATTCATTAGCCATGAAGAGATGTTTATCGTAGGAGTGGAAAACCATGGTCAATGGATGACTAGCGGCCTGTAGCGTCGCTACCGGCCTATCCCAACGGCGTCCTTCTGGTGAAGGAGTCAAGATCAACATCACGACCGACAGTACGCTGAACGCACCTGCGAGCTCGACCTGTTGCTGCGTTTCATCAATCACAGTCTCATTTCGTGTCTGTCGCCAAAGCTGGTAATTGAATTGGATACTGCCAGGCTCGTCGGCCTCCGCTTGCTGGAAAAATAATAATACAGAACATCAGTAGTTAGCCCATTCTAGCGCCAAATAGCTTACCCTCATTTGAGGCTCCGTGAAATATTCGCTGCACCAGTCGAAGAAGGTGCTCTTGAGCGGCCAGAACATCCTGCCATGCCGACGCCAGGTTCCGAGACCGAGGATGACGCTGTTATTCGAATCCATCGACGACAAACTGCTGCTGGGGCTCGGCGCCGAGCCACCGTGGTGGTGACCACGCCTCGTTCCAGAGCGGCGGCGTGCCATCAGGCGTTCCATGTCCTCCTCCACGAGCGCCTCGATGACATTCCAAGCAAGGAAGTCGGCCGGGGGTGGCGGATGAGGAGTCTCGAAGGAAGCACGCGGCGATGGCGGGGCACTTCGTGAGCCATTCGGATGGACGTGCGAACCCGTAGGGGTGAAAGCATCGGAGTACGGCGAAGCATATCTGGCCAAATTCAGGTTCGGAGAAGGGGGCCGAGAAATTTCAGACTCGGGCCGTATCAGAGGAACCTCAGCGGGCGCTGGGTGGCTGTCCTCTGCGGAGGGGAAGGCAATGCCGTTGGCCAATGACTTGAGGGCATTGGCGAAAGACGACGTCCGGCGTAGCGTGTTGCTAACACCGTTGGAGATGGTACTTGTCATCGTGTCCGTGCGAGAAATGCTCGGGCGTAGGCCGCCTGGTGAGGGTGGAGGTGGGCCAAAAGAAGGCGACGCCGACGCCGTCGACCCGACTCGGGCACGGGTAGTGACCCGGTCTGGCGTAATTGGAGGGACATGCAAGGACGTCGACTCTAGCCGGGAAAACGGCGACTCGAGCAGAAGCGCCATGATATAATCTACCACAGTCTGCGCGTTTGTTGCGACCTCGTGGTAGGGGTCGACGGAAAGATCCAAGAGGAACACGAACATAGTAAAGAAAGAGGATAAGTATACCCGTTGCTCCGCCTGCTCGTGCTCGTCTTCGAACCTGTCCAACCAATCAGCGACAGCCTGGTTGGTAATCTCGTCGTCGAGGGTGTGGTGGCTCCCTCCAGGGCTCTTCCACTTGCGATCTTCCTCCCAATAAAGCCATGCACAAACCACGAAAAATCCGCGGTACTCCTTCACGAGGCAGCTCATGAGGACGATGAGCTCCTTCCTGCACATGGGGCTTGCATCATCCTTCATGGCAAGTGTCGCGCCGGTAACAACAGCAACCTCCATCTTGAAGTGAATTCTCTTTGATTCAAAATGCGGCATCGTCCCGCTACCACCACCACCCCTCTTCTTCACATTCCCGGAGCCGCTTGCACCCATGAATGTGCCAAGGGCAAAGAGCGCCGCGCACCGCACCTCTACAGAATCGTCCCGGAGCAGGTCTATAAGCTTGTCCTGCGTCCCACGGTCCACACCATACACCTTGTTCTCATCGTTCCCGTCCCAAATCTGCCCGATGCACAGCGCACTCCATTGCCGCAGGAGAAAATCGGGGTCGTCTAGTTTGTCGTAACAGTTGTCGAATACTCGTGAGTGTACACAAGCATCCTGGCCTGGGGTGTAGTCCCGGGACGCCGCGGCGAGGATGAACGAACACATCGCTTTGTGCTCGGAGGAGTTGGGGAGCGCAGGCTCATCGCGAGCACCAAGAATGGTAGCAAAGTATCTGTACCCGTTCGTGTTAACCAAGTCAACTTGAACCGACGGGTCCACAGCAAGGATCCGCGCCCAGATGAAGATCAAGACCGGGCGAAGGTCCGGACCAGCGGCCTGGAGAAGTTTGCTGATATACGGGAAGATGCCGATAAGCAGCACTAGATGGACCGCCCATGGACCCAGATCCACAAACTGCGAAAGCAAAATTAGGGCCCGGAGACGATGGGGTTGACACAGGAGAACTTGGAGAACGATGGGAAGCTGATCGGGAGGTTTGCGGGGCACGAGATGGGGCTCCTTCACCGGCTCAGTTTCCGACATCGCGTTCAGGTTCTCCGCGGAACCATCATTGCTGGTTCGCTCGGCGGACGGAGGGAGCGACATTGGACCCCGCTTCGTCAGTGCTGCGCCTCCACGAGATATCCACACCTCGAACGCAGTCAGTTGATCAGCGAAGAAGCGACTAGGGATGTAATTGTATCCCTTGTCTCCAGGGAGTTTCGCAGGCTGGTTCTGCCCAATCCGCCCTGGCCGTGATGCGACGGTAACCGGAGAGTCTATAACTACAGTAGCACCGTCGTGGGTTTTGTAGAGCAGATCGGGGAGCTGTCGCAGACATGCGTCAACAGCTAGATCCCACGTCGCCCAGAGCGCATGAGTATTAGTCGGCGGAAGAGGCGGGTAAGTATGGGGGGTACAGTGGTAGTTCTTCATGATACGCTCGGCCAGAAGAAAATTGCGGAAGAGGGATGCGATGAGGAGGTCGCATCGATACAAGCGGGTAAAGACATCGCGTGAAAAGGTCGTCCATGCGATGGTGTCGGTGACGGCAGTGAAGATCCAGTTCAGCTCGCCGAGGGGCGTCTTGCGGTCTTTGAGGTCGCCGGGGAGCTGCATGACCATGTCGGCGGTGATGTTGTTGGGGAGCTGGTGGTGCATGATGAAATATCGGAGGGCAATGTCGATGGGGGAAGTGAGGCACGACGTGAAGAGGTCGGCAGGGAGTTCGGGGCAAGACGGGAGCTGCTCATTGGCAGCGCATGCGGCCAGTTGGAGCGAGCTCATGAACGGCTGTGTCCCGTCCACCGGACCGCCGTGCATCAGTCTCGCTTCAAGGTCCCGTCGGTCAGCAAAGATGTTGAAGTTGTGAAGGAGGTGTCCGGCTGCTGAGCAGTCCCAAATGTAGATCCCCGGCGATCCAAGCCAGTTCTGCACCTCCTGCAGAGACACCGGGATGTACTGGGTGTAGTTTCTATTGAAACACCACAACTCGCCGCTCGCGGTGGGTTTTGGGACCCCGTGGCCGTTGTAGTGAAACAAAACAGCGTCGTCCTTCGCCTGCTTGCGCAAAGACTGGCAAGATCGCCACAGATCATCGTAAGACGGATCCTGGACGGCTTTGTACGTGATTTTGAGGCTGAGGCCCTCGAACTGATGCTTGAGATTGGCGGCTATCGCTTCCATGGCCTTCTGCGACGGCATGGTGTGCGGGTCGACCCAGGCTTCGAGGACGGC